AGCAGAGCCGCCGGTGCTGTGAGAGCTGCCGGTCCGCCGCCGCGGGTCTGAGGGATGCGCTGCGCTCGCGCTGTCTGTCAGGAGGTTGTCTTGGTTTGTACTGACCTACAGTTTCAACCTGCGGGAATTTGTGAAGTGTAAAAATGTCTTTACCTGCTAATCTATGAGTTTATTTGGTTTTAAATTAAAACGCTTTTGAAAGCATAAGCATTTTCTTTTTTAGGAGACAATAATTAGATGTTTTGAATATTCTGATCGTAAAATCCTTAAAATGTTTGTTCTAGATGTGACAGCTGAGGCAGTGGGTGTAGCTATAGCTGCACCTCCATCAGACGGGGAGGCAAATGCGGAGCTGTGTCGCTACCTCTCGAAGGTGCTAGAAGTGAAGAAGAGTGAGGTTGTTTTAGAGAAGGTACTTCCTTTTTCTTTCTTTCCTTCAGTCTTGCCTTATTGCAATCTAAATTCAAGATTTTGAAACTTTAAAGGCGTTTAGTTTAAAAGTGTTTAGTTGAGTTAATGGAGTGATTCATTGAGAAAAAAGAGGAAGAACCACAGCTAACCCTGAAATCTTTAATCAGAATAGCTCTCATCGTGATATATTTTCCAAATTTATGTGGTTTGTGTTTTCTGTTTCTTCAAAGATTCTCTTGTTTTCATGCCAAATGCAGTTCACAAAATTTGTGCTTTGCGGAGAATGTGCATTTTATTAATAACTTACCATTCTTTTTTTTTTGAAGTAACTTCTGTATTTGAGTTAAAATTTTCTGACCATTAACTGTCATACATAAGCAAGAGTGTATATAACCCCTTGGATTATAGCTGGGCCTCAAGAGTTTCTTCGTATTAGAATTTACATGTCTTGACTTTGGCGAGCGGAAACTCTTTGTTTTATTCATTGCACTGAATAAATAATCTGTTTTATTAATTCATTGTACTTAAAGTCAGTCTTTCCAGCCATGTTCATTTATAGTTTATGAGCATAAGAGCACAATGAAAAATTGTGCTTTTTATTTTTGTCTGTTGGTTTAATGTAGTAGTTGTAGAAGTCTGTTAAAAAATAGTGGTAAATGGCAACCTGTGAGCAGTTGAGTCTTGTTTTTCCTGAACGATGGGTAAACCGCTTCATTTGTTTATCAACATTTTACAGATAAAACTGTGTTCCTACCTTAAAGGTATGTTCAGGTTTAACTGGATTATTCTCCTACGTGCTAAGCAGAGTTGAACGCAAAAGGGGCCAGTGTTGTCTGATCTTACTGACTCAGTTGTTCTGACCTACAGTGTTCGAATAATTACGTTAGTGTTTGTTTTTCACAAGCCACTGTTGGTTCTCAGTGCAGCATTGTGGTAAAGTCTGTATTTCACCTGTGGCTTAAATTTTTCTATCCTGATCTGCTAGGTGTGAACAGCAAGTGATTTTTGGTACTGGTTGCTCTCTTATGAGCTACTTGTTTTATAATAAGTGGCTAACATTAACAAAACCAGTCCAAATCAGGAAATGACCCAGTATAGAACTGAGGCTACCAGATTTCAATGCAAGGGCCTTGATTTTTATCATCAGCTGGCTAGACTGCTTCAAAAATCTGCCTTTAATTTTAAATTTCATGCTATATTTTTGTATAGTAGAGTTAAGGACTTTTTCTTCCTTCAGGATGTCCCTTGTAGGCTTTCCAGACTTTCTGCCAGGCTGCAGGTTAACAGACAACTTATTTCTCATGGTTTACTGAATCCTAGCAAAGTTGTGTCTCCAGGCAGTATGAAATGAGGTTGCAGGTTTGCCAGTTCCTATGTAAAATAGCCTTTTTTTTTTTTTTTCAGTAATACAAAACCAGGTCAATAATATTTCAAATAACTGCTGTATGGATCTGCCTTACAGGTTATATACGATGTAATTTCCTTTCATTTAGTTGGTATTATCAACCTGAGAACTCAGCTTAAGCGTAACTAATACTCTGGGAGACAGCTCTGAAGAAAGATTTGAAAGTACGCAGTTATCAAATAGGCACACACATGTAGATATGCACCCATTTTTAAAAACAGAAATGGAAATTAGTTGGGAATCTTGCTTTTAGATGATACGAGTGAATTATGGAAACTTACCGCTCCTTGCTTTTCGTTCTAGCCTATAAAAAAACCATCAATTCAGGTCATGCTATGGGAGAGGTTTCCATTTGTAAAAGGAGAGTAGATAGCATGGTGGTTTTCACCTTTCAAATAACTAGAAAGAATGTTGATGAACTATCTCTAACTGCTGTTAACTCTGCATGACCTCACTTTAAGAATTCTTTTTAAAGTACCTAATAAGTTGGCATTACAGTGAGATTTTTTTTGGAACGTGTATTTCGTGGTGATTCTCTGAAAGATGTTTTCTTTTTGTGTGTGTGTCTAAACCAGGGTGGTAAATCACGTGAAAAAGTGGTGAAGATTTTGGTATCAATGACACCAGATGAGATTTTAGAAAAACTGAAAAAAGAAGCTTCCAGTTGACCTAAAACAAGAGCGGGAAGTGGGACAATGCATCTTGGTAAATGGACTGATATTCTTTCTTATGTAAATCTAGTCCTGTTGAGAATGTGGGTAATGACTAGGGAAAAATACTTCTTCCCCCCCCCTCCCTTGGTAATATAGCTGCTGTATAGTTGAAATTTTTGTCTAGGTTTGGTTAGAAAAACCTGTCTTTACTGAGGCTCTGTGGCTGCTTCTGTCACTAAAGACTTTTTTCCCCTCTCGAGAGTTTCCTGTTGGTAAGATTTGTCCTCTTTCCTGGTCCTTAAACAAATGGTTTAAAAAACTTGTTTCATAGTGAAAAAAACCCTTTGGTTAACAAGGTGAAAGGAGTGACAGGCTTCAACGTGAACAGTTGTACAGAAGGATGAGTCTGTCTGGAGGGTAAACACCCTAGAAGAGTGTTCTCTTCAATATCTGGCAGCAGGTACTGGGTGTGCTTTTGCACTATGCACACATTATATGTACATCTAAAATAAATGTATTTGGAGCCAATATACTGTTGTTGATCATACAGGCAAGCTAAAAGCAGAATCACCTGAACAAATGAAACAAAACCAGAAGTTTGCAGTATAAAAAACTGACCCAGAAGCTGGTAATTGCATATGCGGTGTCACTTTGTCTGTAATTAGTTTTCTGAAAGGTAGAGATACAATCATGTATCTTTGCCAAATGTATGTCACATGTAATGACTGTTTTTAATAAAAGGGACAAAAAGTATTATCAAACTTTGTTTTGTGTTTATATTGTTAACAACAAAAAACCCCTCTTTCCTAGAAGTCACTTATTAGAATGTTATTTTTAAACGGGGCTTTTCTCGCAATCTTTCCTTGGTTTAAAAATGAGTGGTAGTCCAACCCATAGAGAGCCGAGCAGATTCATGTGTAGAACAGAACAAAAAGTCTGAAACAAAATGGGCAGCTATACTCCAGTCTCAGGGCTAATGAGAAGACGGCTTAACTTCTCTCTTTATCGTGATTCGGGGGTCAGAGTAAGATTTAAATAGTATTTCCCAAAACTGTATGTGATACCGCATGTGTCTCTGATAAGAGTTTGCTTTTTCGTCTGTGTCACAGCTGATGTCTGAAATTGTCCTGTCTTTGCTACGGTTGTTGTATTTAAATATATGTATACACAAATGTAATGCCTAAAGTAAAAAAGAAAAACTGTTCTGAAGGTTTGCTTAAGTTATGTCATACCTTCTCCTGGAAAATAATGTTATGAATGCATAAATTACAGTTAAATTTCTTTAAAATTACAGTTAAATTTCTTTCCCAGCTTCATACAGTGCAGGCTTCATAGCTCAAAATTTAGTTTTTCATGGACACAAATCTTTTGCTTTGGGAAATTCTTTTTGCTTCCTGTTATCCTAAATACTGCAACAACTGTTTTTAGAGTTAGAGAACTGGTGCTTGTCAAGATGACAGCTCCTTCAAGGTGACTCATTTTAAACATGTTATGAAAAATGTTACTTTCTTGTTTGGCCGGTGTTTGGAGAACTAAGTCTAAATTGTGAATGCTGTTTGCTTAATGGTTTGCATCTGGACTCATTTTCTCAGGCTTTTGGTCAGCCTAATGTTGCCTCCGTTGCCTTTCCTTACTTATCCTTTTCAGTCTGGACAGGCTGGTTTTTTGTTTTACTGTTCAGTTTTAGTTTATGGCTCCTTGCTGTGTCGTCCCTTCTTGCCCAGCAGAGGGGTACCATGTCTTGCAGAAAAAGTAAGGCAAAGCAAGCCAAAACTAAGTGTTCATGTTTTTTTTTTTTTCTGATTTCATAAACTTTTTTTTTTTTATGAGTAAAAAACAGCAATTGAAAGACTGAGGAATCCTGCATTTATAAGTTATATTCGGAGTTGAATGCTCCAACAGCCATATGAAGATTCATTTGGAAAATAACACCATGTGTTACATTATATGTATTATATACTATATTGAAATAATGTATTATGCTTTCCCATGACTTCAGACCCAGACTGACGGAAGAGCTGGGTAGGCAGGTACGGTCTCTGAAGTACATTAGTCTTCAGTGATGATTATCTACAAGAGCCAATTTAACCTTCCAGTTCCCTCTCTGTCTTGTCAACATGTTCTGCTAGGCTTTGCTAGTTTCTGCTTCAGAGGTTTCACCTTTCCTAAACACCTTCAACTGTAATTCTGCATCTTTTCTTCCTAATCAGTGAAAGTAACTTGAAGACAAATAGGGTGCCTTCAGTGTATGATGCTGTCGGTTTTATGTGATGTGAGCCAGGCATATTGTCCTATTAATCACTTGTCAATCGGAAGACAAGTACTGTTCAGCTGGGAAGTTTATTAGTCCTTGAGAAAACAACCACTGTGGTCTTCTCCCTATTGCACTTCTGTTTTCTATTGCATTTGCGAGTGTGTGCGTGTGTGGTGGGGGGGGAGCCGTCTATATAATACTGATGTTGTGCTTGGCCAAGCCAAGTATTTTTTCTTTAGTCTGGATTGTAGTACAGTATTTAAGAATCGCTTTAATCTGTCCAGTTCAGTCATCGTACAGCACTTCTTCAAAACTTGTCGCAGTTGGCTGGTGTTTAGCATTGCTGCTTAGGAAGGAGAAATACTCTTGGTGGGGCAGATGGAAGCCCTGGCTTCTGTCGCTCAAGGCATTACTTAGTTGAGGCCTCGCTGATGGTGTAAAAAAAGCCACGGCAGATGGAAGGCATAGTAGGAATCAAAGCAGAGAGATGGAAAAGTTCTCCTGGTAGTAGTGCCCTCTCTCACTTAAGACTGAAAGTGGACTAGCTAGCAGGGTGGCAAATAAAGCCTTTATGTGCTGGGAACAGAGAATTTATTAAATAATAGTAATCAAAATTGTTTTAGAAGGGTAGTATAAATAACACTGGGGTGTTGCCATATCTAATATCTGAGAGCCTCTTATATCAATGTTTTTTGTGCAGTCTTCCAATTATATCCATAACATCTTGGTTGTGGATACATGTGTCCTGGTGAAGTGCCTGGGAGGCAGGAATTGCTGATCTGTTGCATATCAAAAGCGAGGTACACGAGAGTTAAGCAGCTTGCATGACCAAACAAGTCAATGCCAAAACTGTGATTTAGGCCTAGCTCTTTCAAATCTTGTATTGAAACCCTAACCTGAGAACTGTCTCTTCATGAACACAGTGTAATATCTTTCATTCTATTGAAAGAATTGTGGAAGCAAATATCCCTAACTCTTCAGCAGAGTATGTTTTTAATAGAACAGAGTTTTTGGATATTGCAGGAAGCCTCTTCCAAGAATTTCAAAACACTTTTCACATCCCCTGTCTCAAAATAAAACTGAAGTCTTACTTCTAGACCAGTTTAAAAACATTGTGGTGCCAGTTACTACCATTCTTTTACTTGCTGGTCCCTGCTTTATTATCCATATGCATTAAGCTACATGTTTAGTCAGCTATTTGAAATCCTACGATTGACTCAAGCACTCTTTTCCTAATGCATTGTCTGACCAATTTCAGGAAAATCTGTCTAATGGTGTTTTGATATCTTACTGCTTAAGACCTGGGCAGTCAGGGCAATTTTTATATAATTAATTTATTTAAACATTAGCAAAATAGAAGTTATCTGAATAAATTCTATACCAAGCCATCTTATGGCATAGAACATTCTTGGTCTTTCATCCACTCAGTTACATTTATTTTCTAAATCCAACTTTGAAAGTACTTGTATAGTTTCATTGAAGTGTTCTAATTAAGGATATTTAATTATACTCCCTGAAGCTGGCCTCTTTGCTCTTTTACTTTCAATCCACTCCATTTATCATCTGTGGCACATTCCTATCTCTCCTTTTAGTCCCAAGTGTTTCTAAATCCCCGTTTCTTCAGGTATCATCAGTCTAAATAATCCTGTATAATTGACAACTTTGTCAATAACTGGCAGTGGCAATTTACCAGAAAGTACAGTTTAATATCTTCCTTCTTTCAGCCTCCAGGAAGATAGATACACCTGATCTTTCTGCTCATTACTTCACATTTCTCACTTTGTGTTTCCGCTCTCATGCTGTTTATTTGCATATGTAAAACTTGAACCAGCTGAGTCCCTTTTTTAAATCTTTCTTTTTTTTTTTTTATTTCAACCTACTATATTCCCCTCTTAATGTTTTTAGTCTTTATCTCAGGAGGATGATTCATTGCCGTATTAGCTGTTATAAAAATGTGCTCCCCTGTCTCCTTCTGGGAACACAGTGCTTTGCCCGCATGTAAAGCGTATCTTGGTTATTATTCTCCAGGAACACCGCTGCACTTGGGGCAAAGTGCTGTTAATGTAACCAAGGCACAATAAACAGTCAAAAAGCTGCTGAAGAAATGAAATACTTGCCTGAAAGGAGTCATCTGGTACTTCTCTAAGGTACTGGGAATTCACTTCTTCCTGGTGCTTTATGTATTAGCTTTTCAAGTAATTGTTAGTGACCCATAAGAATTTTGCTTTCATCTATAAATGCTGCATTTATTTGTTTTGCATTGTTTCATGAGCTGGGGAAGTTAGAGTGATGTAGTAGTCTACCATGGCTGGAGGCTCAGTTTTTAGAATGTTGTTTAAATAACGTTTTGACTTTCCAAGTCTGAAGTAAGGCAAGCAGAAAGGGAAATATATTGCATGTCAATTTAGCAGTTGGTCACTATAGAAACATGCTGTTAAGAGAACAGTTAACCATGGACTTAAGGAGAAAAGAATGCTGGAATGAACAACAGAGGGTCAAAGCCTCATTTCTGCTGCTCAGATAAAGCAGTTGTCTGCTTTAAGAGGGTAACTGGGGTTACAAAGTGTAATTCTGGGGTGATGCCTTTTTGGTATTACCTGGTGCCTGGGCAGTGCAGAGGGGAAGGGCTGCAGTGTGGTGTTGCTTTGGCCAGCTTTCATTGCCATAGTGTTTTGCAAACCAGGATGCATTGAGGCATAATTTATAAAAAAATTCAAAGCTTTCAGTACATGGTAGGATGCAGTTGGTGGCCATCTGTCTG